AAAAGAACCGAAGTGTTTACTGTGCAGCCCAGCTACATGGCCTCCCTCAGAGAAACATCATCACTGTACTTGCTGAGTCAGCAGGAGCTTCCTGATTGGGAGAAGCTCGAGAGTAAAATAGATTTACACCTTGTGTCACTTAGTGACTAAAACCAATGATTCTATTGATCTGTGCACCAGTCTATCTTCAAAATGAGAATATTCTTTATTTTATTTAGGTTTTTAAAAATTATTTATTGATGTATTTTTGCAGTCTCACTATTCAGCTTGGACTCATGGTGATCCTCCTGCTTTTAGCTTCCCCAGCGCTAGGATTACAGGCATGCGCCACTACACCCGGACTCTGGCCAACTCAGCCTATCCTAGGGGTAGGGCTGGCGCAGCATGTGGTGTGGGGAATCAAACCACAGTCCCTGCGCCTGCCTAAGCAGGTGCTTTAGTCTGCTGAGCTATCTCGCTGGTCCCTTATTTAGGTTTTTTGAGACAGGGTCTTGCTGTGTAGTTCAGGCTACCCCTAAACTCACTATGCAGTTGGACTTGAAGAAACAGCGATCCTCCTGCCTCGGCCTGCTCTGGAACCATCAGCATGTGCCTCCCCACCTAGCCCAGGAGAACAGAGCTTCACCGATGGAGCCATACAAGGCTCAACCCACTCACAGTGCTCCAAGTTTTCATAATAATTACTGCTATCACACGGCTGCTCTGAGGTCTTATTTCAATAATTTTTTATCTGTGATACAGAATTTTCATTTCTGTTGATAACAAATTTCCTTCTTAATAAGTCCATCCAGATAATGCTATAGTTTGCAAATATTCTGTGCTAGAAACATAATCCTCAAATTCTTATGTCGGTGGTCTTTGAAGATGTGACCCCTGTTGTGGGGAAGCGGTCAGGTGCAAGGAGGTGCAGCTGTGCCCAAGGGCCAGCCTGGCCCGGGTGAGCGGGGTGCAGGTCACAGTGCTGAGCGGGTGCGGGCACCAAGCGCTGGGCGTCCCAGCCTGCAGAGCGGGGAACCACACACACCTCTATCGTTTACTGATTAACCGCCTGCAGCAATGTGCGACAACAGAGTACATGTGAGGACAGGTGAGAAAGTTGAAAACTCCCCAGAGGCTGCGCAGAATCCTCCGGACAGGGGGCGAGCTCAGGAGGGCTGCCAAACCACCCCAAGACAAGCACTTTTCCCTAGTCACCCAAATCCCAGTTTTCAGAGGCTTCACCAGCTTCCCTTACCAGCTCCAGGGAACAGCCTGCGCTGAGCCGCAGCAGGCCTGGGGGCCGACAGGGGCCTGCAGCGCTCCTCCTCCGCCCCACTCCAGCCCAGCCGTCCCTTCAGCAGCAAAGGAGCTCGGGATGGGCACCCTCCGCACCCACTGGGACCCAGAGGCTCGGGCACCCCAGACAACTGACCTTCAGGGCTTTGAAGATGACGCCGGGGTGCCGGGGGGAGCGCGTGGTGTTGTTCTCCAGCTGCTGCTCCAAGGCGCGCCGGAGCCCGGAAAAGTCGGTGGGGGGGTTGTACGTCCTCGTTCCCTTGTAGTGAATGGAGCTGAAGGCTTCGGGGAAGCGGCCCAGCTTCCGGAACCGGTCCTGGATGAGCTTCTCCGGCACGTCGGAGGCGTGATCTGCGGGCAGACTCAGGCTGTGAGGAGCGCAAGAGCTGCCCGACTCCCGTGAGGAAAGCAGGACACCCGAGCCTGTGATCCCCACACTCGGCGGCAGAGGCAGGAGGACTAAGGCGAGCTGAGGCCTGCACCTCACTGTGAGACCCAGTCTCGTACAACGAAGAACACTAAGTGGGTCACAGCCTACTCCGTGCACAGACACAAGGAACGCGCTGTGAGCGTGAGCGGTGTCGGGTTCCCGGTGCCCGGAAAGGCACGTATGGAAAGCTCCCGCGGGTGTCTCGAGCTCTGCCCTTGACAACACGAGCATCTTCAGGGTGTAAGACCCGTCATGTTCCACGCTTCGACTTCATGTACACTTTTGTATGTATATATTACACATCAAGGAAAACATATTTTTCCCAAGTGTTCATGTAAGAAAAATCAAGGCACGTCAGCAGGGCACAGTGGCGCACTCCTGTGAAGCAGGAGGATCGTTGTGGCGTTCAAGGTCAGCCTGAACTCCAGTACCTACAGCATGGGTGCCTCAAAAATAATGCTCAGGAGGCTGAGTCAGGAGGATCATAGAAAGTCTGAGCCCAGCGTGGACTACAAAGTAAGCTCATGGCCAGTCTAGAATACATAGGGAGACTCGAGACCCTATCTCAGAGACCAGAAAAAAAGAAGACCCTAGATATGTCACAGCATAAAAAATGCACGTGACCTCACCCCCTTATCCCACAGAGCAGGGCTCATCTGTCAGGCTTTGTGCTGCCACACGGTATCTGCTCTCTACCATCCACGGCCCCATGTAACCAGCGCTCACTCACGAGCACTTGCAACTCTGCACCTACGATATTTCAGTAACAATGGAATACCCTTCTCTGACAAAACGAAAGAAGGGGATACAAATGAAGGAACATTTTGTATCTATATATTCAAAAGTTAGAGGATAGATATACAGCTACTTTCTCTTAATTCAATGAATAGAAAGAATTGTTCTAATAGTGTTTGTGGACAGGATATCACATTTGCATCTTGTACTATGACTAACCACTACGAAGACAACAATACGCAATGTGTTAATTATTGAAACTGTCCTACTAATCGGTTTTGAAACTGTCTCATTGCTATTTGTTTCTCAAAATTATTAAAAAGAAAGAAAAGAAAACCTGCTCTTAGGGCCAGGGAGATAGCTCAGTGGAACGAGTGTTTGCCTGGCAAGCACAAGGTCTGGAGTGCAATCGCTGGTACCGCAGAGAAGACCATGCTCTTGTAGGGTGGAGCTGTGCACGGGCCGCCCTCCGCCCAGAGTCCAGAAGAGCAGAGAGCGCAGAGCAAAAGCATTTGTGCTCTGGGCTAAGCGTTCGGAAGACTATTTTTTTTTTTAATTAATCATTTTATTTTATTTTTTAACACATCTTTTTTTCTTTAATTTCAATTTGGGGGGGGCCAGCTCAGCCCACCAGGGGGCGGGGCTGGCTGGCATGTGGTCCTGGGGGATTGAACCGCGGTCCCTGTGCTTTACCAAGCTTGTTCCAAGCAGGTACTTTAGACCACTGAGCCATCTCTCCAGCCCTACTATGACTTATTTATAAAAGTGAAATAAAGAGCAAGAAAAAAAAAGTAATTTTTTTAAGTACAAATACAGGGCCTGGGGAGATGACTCAGTGGAATAAGCACTTCCCTGGCAAGCGCAAAGGCCTGAGTTCAATCCCTGGTTCCACCAAAAAATAAAATAAATAAATAAAATCAAATAAGGTACAAATACAGGTTGAACATCCCTAAAATAAAAATTAGAAACATGAACTTCAACTCTAAAATCTGAGATTTTGCAGTTTTAGATTCAGGTTCCACCGGTAAAGTCTATGTCATAATCCAAACTACGATACACTTGTGGTCCCAAGCATTTTGGATACGGGATACCCAACTGCTAATCTCCTTCCTAGCAAATCCACGTCCATAAAACAAGAGCAAATCGAAAACCAAAACTTCCATGGGACAGTGAAATCTGCCAATGTGTCCATGATTCTGTCACCCCTCCTAGGCTGCATAAAACCTGTCCACCCTAGTCCCAACTTAAACTATAACACTACTCGAGAAACGGGCCTTGATTTAGGGTTAGAAGACCTTGATCCCAACTTTGGCCAGGGAGACTGTGCAGCGGCATTAAGTGCCCGCCTGGCAAGCACAAGGTCCTGTATCTCCCAACTTTGCTATAATTTTCTTGCAACAATGTAAGCGCTATCTGAATTCAGTTTCTTTTTTTTTTATCTTTATTTTTATTTATTTTTTAACATTTATTTATTTATTTATTTATTTATTTATTTATTTATTGTGTGTGTGACCAGCTCAGCCCATCAGGGGGCAGGGCTGGCTGGCATGTGGTGCTGGGGGATCGAACAGCAGTCCCTGTGCTTTACCAAGCTTGTTCCAAGTAGGTGCGTTAGACCACTGAGCCATCTCGCCAGCCCTGAATTCAGTTTCTTCATCTTTGAAATAAAATTGCTGAGTGGGCTGAATAATAAAGATACAGTTAAATTCCATCTGTCTCCAGAAAAAAATGGCCGATACCAAGAAAGCAAACAATAACAAACACTGCAGAAGCTGCAAGGAAAAAGGAACCCTATTATACTGTTGGTGGGAATGTAAGGTCGTACAGCACTATGGAAATCATTACAAAGATTCCTCATAAACTAATCCAGCCAGACATGATGGCAGATGCTGGTACCTAGCACTCCAGAGGCGGAAGCTGAAGGACTGTCACTAGTTCAAGGCCACTATGAACTACATACTCCATCTCATTCTATCCCTTCAAAGTACTCCCCGAGAGTTCAAGACTTCATATTACAGGGCCGGTGAGAGAGCTCAGTGCATGCTTAGGCAAACACAGGGACCAGGGTCCGATCCCCAGCACCCACGCAGCCATCAGTCCTGCCCCCAGGCACACTGAGCTGGCCACTGAGTCTGGGCGTAGTGGTGCATGCCTATAACCCAGGGCTGGGGAGGCTGAAAACTGGAGGATCACTTCAAGTTGGAGCTGTGTAGTGAGAGCCTGTACCAAATGAAAAAAAAAAAAAAAAAAGACTTCATATTACAGTGCCACACGTGCACCCATTATGCACAATTCGTAATTCCTGAATCTTGAGGCAACCTACATGTCTATCAACAGATGAATGTGTAAAAGAAAATGCATTTATATACAATGGAGTATTACTCAGCATAAAGAACACATTTAAGTTATTTATAGGACAATGGATATATATACATTGAGACCATAATGTTAAGTGAAATAAGTCACACAGCTTAAATATCACATGGTCACTTTTAATAGAATCTTTTTTTCTTTAATTTTATTTGTGTGTGTGTGTGTGTGTGTGTGTGTGGCCAGCTCAGCCCACCAGGGGGCGGGCTGGCTGGCATGTGGTGCTGGGGGATCGAACCGCGGTCCCTGTGCTTTGCTAAGCTTGTTTTAAGTAGGTGCTTTAGACCACTGAGCCATCTCACCAGCCCCCACATGGTCACTTTTATATGAAAAACCCAAAGTACAAAAAGAAAGACAGGAAACAGGAAAATAGATCTTTTTGCAGATGGAAAAGGGACCAACAGGTGAAAGGAAGGAGACAGGGTGGAAAGGACTTTAACAGGGCTGGAGAGATGGCTCAGTGGTCTAAAGCACCTACTTAGAACAAGCTTGGCAAGGTATCAGGGACCGCGGTTCAATCCCCCAGCACCACATGCCAGCCAGCCCCGCCCCCTGGTGGGCTGAGCTGGCCACACACACACACACCTCTCTCTCTCTCTCTCTCTCTCTCTCTCTCTCTCTCTCTCTCTCTCTCTCTCTCTCTAATAAATAAAAATAAAAAAATTTAAAAAAAAAAGAAAGGACTTTAACAAATTCAATGAGTAAATGCAGGGCTTGGTGGTGCCCAGCTATAGTCCCAGCACTCAGCAGAGTGAGACAGGAGGGTCACTGCAAGACCAAGGCCAGAGCTGCACAGAAAGACCCTGTTAAGGCAGGACTAGGTGGTGTACACCTGTAATCCCAGCACTCAGGAGTGAGACAGGAGGATCACTGCAAGTTCTAAGCCAACCTAGGCTGCCCAGTGAGGTCAAGGCCAGTCTGAACTTCACAGCAAGATCCTGTCCGCACCCACCCCAAAAAAAGATCAGATGATTTAAGAATCAAGATGTGGGGCCTGTGAACGAGATCAGCGGGGGGCTGGGGAGATAGCTCAGTAGAATAAGCTCTTGCCTGGCAAGTGCAAGATCCTGAGTTCAATCCCCAGTGCCGGGAAAAAAAAAAAAAAAAAAAAAACTCAGCGGACTAAGCACCTGCTTAGTCCCCAGTAGCTCATGCTGCACCAGCCCTGACCCGGTCCCCAGGCACACTGAGCAGGCCTCAGGGACAGAGCATCGTGGCGCAAACCTGTATCCCAACAATGGGGAAGCTGAGAACAGGAGGATCACTATGATTCGGAGCTGCATAGAGAGACCCTGTACCAAATACGTTAGAGAGAAAAAAAAAAGAATCAAGACATGTTAACACATGCACCACCTTCCCATGATGGATCCGGTCATTATGCAGTGCAAACACATACCAAAAACAGGCATGTGTCCTGCCTCAGCCTCCTAAGTGCTGAGATTACAGGTACCTGCCACATGCCTGGCCTGCTACGTGTTTTTAAAAATAAATGCTGGCTGGGGAGATAGCTTCAGTCTACGCACGGGTCTGGCAAGCACAAGGACCCGGGTCCAATCCCCTGTACACATGCTGTGTGAGCCCCGCACTGCCCTCAGAAACCAGGTATGTGTGTGTGCCTGTAATCCCAGCACTGGGGAGGCTGAGGCAGGAAGACCACTACAAGTCTGAACCACATAGGGAGACCCTGTATCGATTTTAAAAAAAGCAAGCATGAATGTGATCATGTAACTCTGCCTAGGATCGCTGGGCTCCTACTACACTGAGAGCTGAGTGGAGGCTGTCCAAGAGCTGGTACCGCAGCGCCTCCACCCCTCTCCTACACAAGCCAGCTTCGGCCCTCCGCAGCTCACTTAACAGTGTTGCAAACATTCTTCTGGGCTCTTTTTTACTTTTTTTCCCCCTCCCTCCCTCCAAGATTTAGAAAACTTTGTGTGTGTGTGTGTGTGTGATACCAGGGATTGAACTCAGGCCCTTGCACTTCCCAGGCAAGCACTTATTCTACTGAGCCATCTCCCCAGGCCCTCTTTTCTACTTTTTTTTTGGTACCAGGGATCAAACACAGGACCTCGCACGTGCCAGGCAGATGCTCATGCGCTGAGCTAGTTCCCCGGCCCTCTTCCAGGCTCTTTATACACAGCAGTGAACATGACAGGCAGCACTCTTGCCTTCATGATTCCGTTCGACTGGGAAAGACCAACAAGGAATGAAGCACATGCAGGGGAATGACCCTTAATACTGACCGCCAGTTTGGTGAGACTAAGGAAGGCTGCACTGACTGATGAGGACACCAGCAAGGCAACAGCTGCCACCAGCTCCTGGCTGGCCGGCCCAAAGACACACAGCCACTGGAGAAAGGTGGCTCTCCCCACCGGCTCCCCAGCTCCCGAGGCGGGCACCCCCCAGCCTCCCTGGCTTCAGCCAGCCAGGGCCAGAACCTCTGAGCCTGTGAGCCCACACCGCAGGGGCCTTTCCTCCTGGGGGTAGAAGTCCAGGCAGGCAGGCGGGTGCTCAGAGAGACAGGGACTGCGAAAAGGCAGGTGGGGGAGCACATCTGCACACACTGCAGCCATGTGCACAGACGCACGGGGGGGGGGGGGCTGAGAATGGAGGTTAGGAAGCCACCAGGGCATCTGCTAGTTCCGGAACACCCTTGTCCCCCACACCTTTCAGCAGCCAAAGTTAAGAGTGCAAACATCCCCTCCTCCTCCCAAGATCCCAGTGGAGGGGCAGAGTCGTGAAACCGTCCTAGGGGCCATGCTACGGGGCTCCCTGCATCCACACCCTGCTGCTGCCCCTGCCCCGCATCGGCCCCGCAGGCAACCATCTTGCACCGTTCCTCTACGTAAGTAGCAACAGCAGGACGAGCTTGCGTGCACACAGGCCCTACCCGCTTACCTGAAACCTTGACCCTATGCTCCACCTTCTCTCCTGCTGGCACAGGTGAGCTGTCCATGCGTCTGCAACCAACCGGGCCACCTAGGCACCACCCCAACTGTCCCTCCTCTCTTGTATCTGCATTGTTCTCTTTCTTTTTCTTTTTTCATTGTTCTGTTTCTAGTGAATCATTTTCATCAGTAAGCCAGTAACTATAATCCCCACCCTCTTAAATTTTAAAAAGGAAACTCGTGGAACTCACTGTGAGTTCGACACACCGCGGGCTCAGCTCTACTCTTACCCACCTGTGCTGCCATTCTGACCAAGCTCGCTCCCCACCACCCCAAGGAACAGGCTTTGCCCAATCACCAGGCCCCTTCAATGCCACAGCCAACACTCACAGCCCTTGGCATGGATAAGCACACTGCCGGTCCTGTTGGGCCACCCCCACCCAGTCTCACTGTGGCCCAAGCCCCTCCTCGCACCCACAAAGGACAACCTGAGACTCAGCACCCCTTCTACTCACCAGAGCCCAGGAGCTGAGTGTGCACAGTCTCATGGAAAATAATAACTGCAGGGCCCAGAGTGGACAGGGGGACGTCCAGGCCACAGCGGGCAGTGGTGGCCTTAAGCTCCTTGGTGAAGTGCTTCAGATAAGCTTCCGAGGCATCTCCAAGGAATTTGAAGAGGTCATTATGTAGCCTGTCTGCATGAGTTCGATAGATGACGATGTCTGAAATGGCCAGGACCTTAAGGAGCAGCCGTGTTCTCTGGCTTAGATTCACGGTAGCCCCCAGGAGCCCCTCTGTGTCTATCACCGCGACTCTGTGCACTGGGTCATAGGCTGCCCACACCCCCACAGTGCAGGACTCCTGGGCAGGGGAGGTTTTGAAGACTTCGCGGCCGTAAAAGAAAGTGTGGTTGAGGGTATGAGACTTTCCATCGCCAGTATTTCCAAAAATGGAAACCACCTTCAGATGCTGATCGGGTTTACAGTCCAATTTCCTAATAAAATCATCTTCATTTGTTACCTTCAAAAAGAGGAAAAGACAATGAAATAAAGAAACTGCAGAACAGTTAGAAAAACCTATAAAGAGGAAAACTGAGCCCAGTAGGGTGGCACATGCCTATAATCCAGACACAAGCCTATAATCCCAACTATCAAGAGGCTGAAGCAGGAGGATCACAAATTCAAGCCCAGGTTGGGTACCTTAGCTAGACCCTGTCTCAAACTGTATTTTTTTAAAAAAGGTTATCTGTCCTCTTAAAAAGGCTGGGACTACAATTCAGTGATAGCCTGCTAGCACTCTGCGCGAGGTCCTGAGCTCAAGCGCTAGCACAGAAGAGTCAGGAGAACACACACTGCCCCAGTCAAGGGCACGGAGGGGTCCAAGACAGGAAGGAAGAAGTCTCCGGAAGAGATCCATCGCCACCTCCCGCCTCAGCAATCGTTCACAGGAGCTTTATAAAGCCTCAGTCTAGATAAATCCGTCTGTATACGCTGAATTAGGAAAAAGGTAAAACTGTAAAAAACTTTGCACACCATGTATTTCATAAGGGCCTTATGTTCAGAATATATAAAGAACTCACATACAACTCAACAATGAAAACAACCAAACCCAGTACCGTAATCCCAGCATTTGGGAGGCTGAGGCAAGAGGACCACTGTGAGTTCCAGGCTACAGTCTGGGCTACAGAGTGAGTTTAAGAACAGGCTGAACTGCATAGCGAGATCCTCTCTCAAAAAGACAGAAAAAAGAGAGAGAGGAGAGGAGAAAGAGAGAGAGAGGGAGAGCGAGGGGGCAGGGAGAGAGAGAGAGAGGGAGAGAGAGACAGACAGAGACAGAGAGAGAGAGAGAAAGAGCAAAATAAGGCTCAACATCATTGGTCGTTAGAGAAATGTAAATCAAAACTACAATGTAGGGGCTGGTGAGATGGCTCGGTGGTCTGGAGCACCTACTTAGAGCAAGCTTGGCGAAGCACAGGGACCATGGTTCGATCCCCTGGCACCACATGCCAGCCAGCCCCGCCCCCTGGTGGGCTGAGCTGGCCACACACACACACACACACACACACACA